AAATGGAATACTTTTGGCTTAAGATATTATTTAGCAATTTGGATGATATATATAGTTTTTTCTGGTAGTTTTATTACTGTTGCCACTTTATCAGATAATATTTCTTGGCATTATCAACAAATGTGTTTAATTATCACCACCATTCTTGGTTTCTGGCATTTATTTGTTGAAATTCGTAGTATTTCTTTTTCATATAAAGGATATTTTTCAAGTGTATGGAATTATTTAGGTAAAATTTTATTAAAATAATCAATCAATATATAATATCTACTAATATTTAATTTAATTTAAATGGATCTTAGCGCTATAATATCTGCTATAGTAACTTCTATTATTTGGTTAAGAAATGGTTCTGTTTCAACTGGAGCTATTACATTTACAAATTTGCTTCTTGAATTAGAATTTATTATATATCTTCGACCTATAAGATATTTTGGAATTTATCTTACTATGATTATGAATACTGCAGACAAAGTTTTAGCTTTTTTAATGTTATTTGCACTTATTATACTTGCATTTGCGCACTCATAACATCTCTTGTTACGAACTGAGATAAATCAAGGTATTTATTTGATTAAATAACGCTATTTAATTTTTTTTATTATAAATTTTAATAATATAATATGAACAAATTACTTTTAGATTCATATTTAAATATGTTTATACAATTCGGTTCTGCAATTCTTGCATCTTATTATATGATGATTACTGGTAACTTATAAAGTTTATCGATATTTAAATATTTATGAATTCTTTAATATAATTATTTATTATTCATTTATTAGGGGATTCAACTCCTATTTCATCATGGGTCTCAAATTAATGATGCTTTTTTCATTTTTTATAATGACTTACCTGATGAATTTATTTATTGGAATTCTTGGTAATTTACTGGGTGATAATAGAGATAATCATCTTTCTTATTTAATGTTAAAGAAAGAGGTATATTTTCTTGTTGTTTAAAGTTAAAAAATTTAAAAAATTTAAATACTAAGACTTTATTTATTTTGATTATATTCTTGAAGACATCGAATTGTTTTATTTAACGTCTTCTCAAAAGCGAAATTATAATTGGTTTCCACATACTTTGTAAGTGATTGTTGCATTTTTCAAATTACTGTGATTGGCAAATTTCATATAAGTGCCGCCAAGAGAAAACTTATCATCGGGCTTTCAATTGGGTTCATGTCATTTGCCCGACAATCATTTTCCAACGATATTTTTGAAAATATTATTGGGAAAATAGTTGGTTTTCCCTTGGTGCCACATGTATTTCTTACACGCATAGAAACCTGTATTAGATCACGAAAGATTTAAATATCAGATATTGATATTTAATTTCTGAGTGAAAATATCTCAATAATGGTCAATACAGTCAGACCTCCCTAAATACATATTCCCTAAATGCATAGTATATGAAAGACCTCTCTAAATGCATGGCCTTATTTGGCCCCAACTCATATGACACTTATAGATTTTTACCTCCCTAAACGCAATACCTCTCACCGGCTATGCATTTAGAGAGGTCTGACTGTATTTAAGACCTTTTCAAAATTCTATTTATAGAATTCGAAATGGCGTAAATATCAAAATGAAGCAGAATTATATAGACATTTTTGTTCAAAATTTATAAAAGTATAGGTATTAAAACCTTAAAAATTTTTCTGTTGAATTAAAAATTTCTTATACTAAGAATTATAACAATGCCAGCATTACAGCATTTTGAATTTTGGGATTAGGGTATTTATTGAAACAAATCTAATTTTATAGAGATGTTAATGTAGCATGTGTTAAACTATTAGGTTGATAGCGAACAGAAATTCCATAGGTTTTCTTCATTGTCTAAAGTCACCTGATCTTGCAATAATAAATAATAATCGCAATAAGTTAGCATAGATAACAAAAATCCATAATAAAGTAATAATGATAACATTTCAAAAAAAAAAAAAAAAAAAAGGGATGAGGCAAAAAATTGTTGAGTGAAGTAATAAATACACTATATAATTTTTTATTGCATAATACAGTATCTATTTTTAAATTAGTAAAGACTGAGCCATACATATGCTCTCCGGATAAGATAATGTCATCATTTGTTATTGGTAGATATACGTATGGGGTCTTGCCTTGAAAATGACCTTACGGTACATGATACCGTAAGGCCATTTTCAAGGCAAAGACCCCATATGATCTACGGACTAAATGAGATGACTTCGGGAAAATGAGATAAGGTAGCTTGCTTGGGTGTGACTAAGGTGATTTGGTCATATCATATAATTAAAGGGAGTTATCATATGATAATGTTCTTATATGCCCTACCTACCTCGCACATAAGTGTCGTTACCAACCTTACCAAGGTTACGTCCTTAAATGACTTTCAAAGGACTAGAGAGGCTTAAACATGACTCAACTTTATTTTGGATGGCCTATTCTTCTCAACAAGCCTCATATGCTATCCAAGCCTTAGAGTATTGTTTGGAGGCTTGTTGTATTCTTCGGAATGTCATTTTTACCCGTAACAATAACTAGAAATTATGTGTGGAAATTTAAAAATGGACTATTGTGAGAAAACAAAGCAGCACAGCACAAATTACAGTATGGATTAGGACTAGTGTTTACATATGTTTGTCTATTGCTTTTAAAAGCCAACCAAACAAACGTAAATTATGCAAAAAACAATTAGCTTACTAAGTGAGGATTATGATGTATTTTAAAATTCACAATTTAAATTAACTCCTTTATCATTCATGAAATTATAATTGTAAAATGGCGTCTACTTTTATCCCAATTGAAGAGTATAATGGAGAACAAAAAGACTTTTCTCTACACGATAGAGAGCAAGTAACAATGATAGCGTGTTCACCCAATTTTAAATATATTGCGACATGGAGTGACATGAATAAATCGGCAGTTTTTTGGAGTATTCCTGATAAATTTGATAAATTTGATAATCAACAGCAATTGAAACCTAAATATAAGATTTTATTAGGAAATTATAAAAATTATAATAAATATAAAGTTTATTCGAATAGTGACATTGAACCTTTTAGTAACGATAAAACTTTTGGTGACATTAAAAATTATTTTACTGTTTCTGATGATGAGTTTGTTGCGATGCCAATTGAGAGAGTTGAAATTGAGAGAGTTAGAATTGAGAGAGTTGAAGTTAAGAGAGATGAAACTGAGAGTGATAAGATTGAGAGAGTTAAAAGTAAAGTTGTTTCAAAAACTGAAGAGAAATATTGTTTAAAGGCTGTGAAAAAAAATGCTTCAAGAGTTCAAATAGGTAAGTTTTCGTTTTATATTGAATGATAATCGATATATATATTGTGATTATTAATTTTAAAATATTACGTAACTTTATCTGTTAATAATATAACTGTTTTAAGGAATTTTCAATTTTGTAAACGGAGAATACCTTTCTTTAAATATTCCGCATTCTGAAATTATGGTTGAATCCCTAGCTTTTTTAGATGGAAATAAATTAGTTATGATCAGCAAAGATCCATTGTATAGAATATATATCTTCACTCATGAAAAAAATAAATTTATTCACAAATCAACGATAAAAGTGGAATCATATAATGAAAAAATTTTCTTATCTAATGAAAAACTGTTTATATATGATAAAAATTTAGGAAGTATTACTAAATGGGATATTGACACCTTAAAATTTGAAGAATACTTTTTATTTGATAATAGTTTTGACGTTGATAATATGAAACTGAGTGAAAATGGAGTACTGTTATTTGTATATGGGACAAAACGTATGGGTAATTTACATAAAGATCCTTATCCTTGTATAAGTGTCTATTCTGCTGATCATGGAAATAAGTTTACAACATGTAAGTTTTTAGAAAAAAAATTAATATTATGATTATAATTAAATTATTTGATTTAATTAATTTTTATTATTATAAGATACATATGAAAAATCATGTATTATCGATACAGTCTATCTGATTGCTTCTGATATTGGAGCGCGACTTCTTATAGTTTTCCACAAGAACGACGACCAATATCATTATTCTATATGTGATCCATTCACTCCACGTATTCCAGGTGAAAGTTATGTAAATGCTAATTATCTATTCAAGGATTTTGAAGCAGAGCGTGATAAAAATTTTGAATATAACCATATTGTAAAATCTGATAAAATTGTGGGCTTTAATTCGAATGGAACTTTAGTAATTAAAAAATTAATACCTGATAAATCTGATACTTGGATCTCCTATTTAAGAGAAACATTGAATGATTCCAACAGTATTTTCATATCATCAGATAGTGAAAAAATCAAAGATTTAATTAGACGTGCAGATGACAAAAGTAAAGAAACAACTGACAAGACAGTTATTGATAAAAGTAAAAAAATGGTTGGCAAGTCAACTAAGGATATTGGTAAAAGTGAAGAAACAACTGCCGAAGTTGAAAAGACATATTCAAAATATTTTATATCTTGGACTTTAAAGTATGAAAATAATAATAAACATATTATACTTACGGCAAAATTTAAAAAAGATAATAAAAAAGACGATGAACCTAAATCAGATAGTATACAGAATTATATATTAAAGCCATTATGAATAATAAAGAATTTATAAATGAATGCAATTGTCTTAATAACGGTGATTTT